TTTTTTTTCAAAGAGTTGCTGTTGGGCAAAGCCAGTCAAGAATCCCGCCTCGTTTTGGCTCAGAAGAGATCAAACCTGCTCTGGTGTTTTCTGACCCTGTCGACGTTCATCCTGCCTCATTATTACCTGCTTCCGGAAAATCAGAATCAGACACAAAACCACATCGATATCTGGAGCCTGACATCAATGCTGGCACTCCTTCACCTCTCAAGGACCCATTGCCCTTAGAAGACACGAGAAAGTAAGTGTAATAAAATACAGTCAACCCCAGTTATAAATACAGTAATAAATACAGTCAAGTTATCCTCTTGAATAACAGACAAATCCGTACAACAGACTTCAGTTGTTGAAGAGCACAACACCAGGGGACATGAGTTCCTCAGGTCCCCCTTTTGCTTCCCAAATTAATTTGAATATGAAATGTCATGATTATTGCTATGAATAAGTGTGTGTGTGTTGTGTGTTTTTTTAAGTTCTTTTGGTTGTAATTTTACTTGTTTTGCATAATTTGAAAGTTATATGAATGTTGAATTCGCAAAACAGACTAGCCTATTGCACAAATGAAGTCGGTTGTGCGGGGTCAACTGTTTATACCTGTTCTGTACTTTGTTTTCAAGAGAAAAAAAAGTTGATGAAAACTTCACCAGGAATTATACATTCCAGTAAATTTGGACCAGCATCAACCGACTGCTGACTAATTTTCAAGGAAGCAAGCGTTTCGTGGGAAATATTTTTTATCGAAAGGCCTTCGACACGAGCAGAAGCCTTTTTTTCCATTTATAGAGTAATAAATTTCGAAAAATACCGGAAATTTCCCCGGTATGGGAATTTTCAAAAATTCTCTCGTGATCTTCCGTGCTGAATTAAGAGTACAGTACCATGATTTTACTGAAGAAAAGAAACAAATAACCGGTGTAAGTACATATATACAGTAGTCATAACGCAAATTTGAAGATACAGTATGTAGTCATGTATTCAGGAAGAAAATTGCTACTGTACTAATCTTGGCTCCAGAAGTTTATGGCTTTTAGTTTCAGGGGCATCTATACAAACAATATCAAACAGGAAATGCTATAGATTTCATACCTGTTTGTGCACAGTATAATAATTCAGATTCATTTCAAGAACTTCGTTAACATTTTCGACGATTTCTTCCCCGGGATTGCGAGAGAGAAAGATTGCAAAAAATAGTTCTGGCCTACCCAAGAATTATTGCGGTGTTTAAAAAGTGGTCTATTTTTCTTGGTTGCACCAAGAGAATTATAAAGCACGGTATTTGCTTTTTTCTGCAAATATTGGCACTTTCTGGGTTTCGGACAGATTTCAGTTGTCCATCATCTCAAATTTATTTTTCATACGCAGCATGCGGGGTATTACGAGAAATTAAACTTTAGCGTCATTTTGTTTTTTGTCATTGCCTTCAACCTTAGTCAGTTTTTTAAAAATACGTTTTGGTCGCAATCTTATTCAATTTTGTCCTGCATGGTACATTTTCAAATCAAAATTTTCTTTTATGCTCGTAATCCCAACTATTTACAACGATGTGGTACCTCAATTTTTCCACTGCTGGTACCCGCTTATATATTGTGGTATAATTCGAGCCTATGATTGAATCTGTTGAGTTTTTTGAAAATGGATCATTACAAATAGTTGAACTCATTTCGACAGCACTCCATCGAAAGAAACCCCGAGCCCGTTGACCGGAACCCACGATTACGTCGAAGGGTTGACCCAATCCGCCACCAACAACCGGGAAGTCGGCAGTTTTCGAAGTGCAACCTCATTCAGTACTTCCGAAAAAGTACGAGACAGTGACAGGTACGGTGTGACGACGAGCAGCAAGTCTGACGACAGCAGCAGGGATTCAGCTGGTCGTTGGAGCTCGTTTAGACACCCTACTCAGAGCAGCAGTAATTCCTACAATGATCCGTGAGTTGAACCTTAATTAAAAAAAAAAGTAAAACCCATGCATTCCCCAAAAATTGCCTCGAAAACTGTGTATTCAGTATTTTGTGACGTCTTCTGGATTTATACAGCACGAGATGGATTAATGTAACTTTTTTTGGAAAATGTTAATCTGTTTGGAATGGAAAATTGTCCATAAAAATGTATCCTGAAAAATATGATCTTCAACAAAATTTCCAGTTCGAATTCTGGCTGCTGGTGGAAGTGGTTGAGGAATTATGACAAAAGTTGAGGACATAGTGTATAAAATGTACACATGAAAGTTTTCATGTATTCTAGCAAAACCATGGATGAAGTATTTGTGAACCTTGTAAACATTTTCTATGCAATACATTATTTTAACAAGATTTATTGTTGTAGCAAAATCCTGCTGTATGTAGTTAATTTTAATTCCAACCATCAAAATTTAGTAATGCGGAATTTCAATAATGGATCATACAGTGGTATCTCAAAATGTATCTTCTCATAATGTTCTGCAATTTGCATTGAGACAATTTTCATGTTTTGTTAGTTTATATATTTCACATTTTTTCTTAAAATTTTCACAAATTCTGCAGCATATA